AGCCACCCTCCTGATCCGGTTGCAGCAGCTGCAGGGTGTGCCAGCAGGGACACAAATGCTTTGGACACTGGCCCACTAACTTCAGTATCATGGAGATAATCGGGCTAGTTTCAATGGTTGCTCAAGAGCATGGGGTGTGCAGGGGAGGGCAGGCTGCTAGCCAGACGGATGCATAAATTAGAGAGAGGTTTCCATTAGGGCACTAAGAACTGAAGAAGGAGCCAGCAGTGCCAGGACACTGATGGGGTGGATGCAGCAAGGTCTACGCTGCTGGGGTAAGGCTGATAGAAATGGCCAGATGCCCTCAGGATCCTCCGCTGTAAGGGCAAGGGATCATGACAGCGGGCGCCTGCAGCCCCTGGGCAATGCAGAGCCCCCCTGAAGCCCCGCTCGGAGCTGAGAGTTGAGCCTGCCAAGCCCTCTCGGGTCTCGGTTGTGCCTGCAGCCAGTCCCCACCACCCCCCGAATCCGACCACCATCAGGGGAGCGCACCCTCTTCACCTGCCTGGCTTGCGCTGCCCGCGCATTATCAGTAAAGCTTTCCCCCCTGCCATTGCTCAGCCGCTGGACAGACAGCTTTTCCCAGGCCCCCAGGCTGGGCAGGATGCAGCGGATTCAAGAAAGGGCATGGTGCGGGGAGCAGGTGCTCAGCATTCACCGCCAGGGCGTGGAGCTTGGCCCTATCGATGGCAGCGACATTGCCGGCAGACCCCACCGTGCTCTCCACGCTGCTGGCTGCGCTGGTCCAGGCTGGCCCCGCTGTCCTGGCTGTGCCCACGGAAGTAACAAACTCCGGGTGGAAGAGTGCTGCTCATGGATGGCACCGTGCCTCGCGCCAGGGCTCTGCCCCTCGGGTCTCGGGGCCTGGCCCAGGCTCTGCGGTGGGGCTGTCCCACCCCAACGCCGCTGTCATCACCGCAGCACTCGAGACTCTTTCAGCTTAATGTCGGGGCAGCGGCAGTGCGTTATGCTCGGGGTTTCTTCCCTCCACGTGTGCCCGGGGGGCCCAGCTCGGTGAAAGCCGAGGGGTCCAGGGAACCACGGGGCTGGAGGGAAGCGGGGAGGCCACGTCGGTGCTGCCTGCGGCAGGATCATCCTCCCCAAAGCCATCCCGTGCAGGTCCGAACTCTTCCCAGAGCCACAGGCCAGTCCCGCCACGCAGCCGCGAGGTGCAGCGCAGCCCTGCTGACCCACGGCGGACGCGGGGGCCGGCGGCTCCGCAGCGCGGCTGGGCCCCAGGGCTCGTGGCACGGAGCGAGGTGCCGGTCCCGGAGCCGCGCCGCGGTGCTGGAGGGGTCCAGCCTGGGGGGCACATGCCTCTGGGGGGCACACCCAGTCTGGGGCGTCCCACGCATAGGGGGGTCTTGCGCACACACCTCACGGTCCCACCCCCCCCCTTGTGGCACACATATGGAGGGTCTTGCACACACATGGGGGTCCCACACACATGTGGGGGTCCCACACACACACACCTCACGGTCTCACACCCCCCCCTTGTGGCACACACATGTGGGGGGTCTTGCACACACACAGGGGTCCCACACACACACACACCTTGTGGCGCACACACGTGGGGGTCTCACACACACACGGGGGTCCCACACACACCTCCCTTGTGACACACACATGGGGGTCTCGCACACCCCTTGTGGCACACACGTGGGGGGTCTTGCACACACACATGGGGGTCCCCCACACACACACCTTGTGGCACACACCTGTGGGGGTCTCACACACATGTGAGGGGTCTCACACACACACCTCAGGATCCCACCCCCCCTTGTGACACACACCTGTGGGGGTCTCACACACACACCTCAGGGTCCTGCACTCACGCACACACACACCCCCCTTGTGGCACACACGTGGGGGGTCTCGCACACACACATGGGGGGTCCCCCACACACACACCTTGTGGCACACACCTGTGGGGGTCTCACACACACACCTCAGGGTCCTGCACACACACACACACGCACACACCCGGGAGTCACACCCCCCCTTGTGGCACACATGTGGGGGGGCTTGCACACACACATGGGGGTCCCCCACACACACACCTTGTGGCACACACCTGTGGGGGTCTCACACACATATGGGGGGTCTCACACACACACCTCAGGATCCCACCCCCCCTTGTGACACACACAGGGGTC